TATTGTTTTAAAATATAAATCAAAATAAGCGCAGCAAGAGAGCCTCTGCTGTGGCTGAGTCTGCAGGCACGGGGAGGGTCTGAAATGCTCGCCTTCCCCCAGTACACATGGTTTGAATTGCCGAGCCATGGAGCAATCGGCCGCCCTGCAGTACCGCTCCTCTCTCCCCGCTGCCAAGCCATTATTGGGAAATACTTGTCACATATGAACTGGAACATCAGGTTACACTGAACGTTTTCACACCGCTTTGTAGTACATACATACGTTCAAAAGCATATGACACCGTCTCAGCGCGAGATCGAGATGGAGAGAGGAAGACGTGTAATCCCGCAGCCGGGAAATTCAGAGTTAAGGCTCCAGAGCGCAAAGCCTGCAGAGGTACTGGACAATAAAGAGGCACCGGGGAACACAACACACACATAGAATAGAATAGAGTTGAATAGAATAGAATTGGAAAGGACCTTAAGATCATCCAGTTCCACCCCCCCTGCCATGGGCAGGGACACCTCACACTAAACCATCTCACCCAAGGCTTTGTCCAACCTGGCCTTGAGCACTGCCAGGGATGGAGCATTCACAACCTCCCTGGGCAACCCATTCCAGTGCCTCACCACCCTCACAGGAAAGAATTTCCTCCTTATATCCAATCTAAACTTCCCCTGTTTAAGTTTTAACCCGTTACCCCTTGTCCTGTCACTACAGTCCCTAATGAAGAGTCCCTCCCCAGCATCCCTATAGGCCCCCTTCAGATACTGGAAGGCTGCTCTGAGGTCTCCACGCAGCCTTCTCTTCTCCAGGCGTGTATTGAAATACACAGTGTGAGAGCTGGAGATTTTCACACCCTCAGTCTGCAACGCAGCAAGGACCAGCTGCTGGGCAGGGTGTTTTCTATGGACCAGGTTTGTTTTAAGCCTTCCTTAACTGGATTTAAGAAGATTTGCTCTCAGGCATCCAGCACCATGAGCTCTTGATGGACCTTCTCACAGACCCTATGGCAAATCCTGTTTTTAACAGGAACCTTTCGCACCAGCTTTTGAAAGACTGAGCTTAGAAACACAAGGGGGGAAAATAAAAGACTCCTTAAAAATTAGATATAAAAAGGCAGCCAGAACACAGCCACACAACTGAAAAACAAAGTGTTTGGAAGCATGGAGATTTAGTCCTGCTTTCAACCCACCTCCAAGGGCTGCCCTAAATGCCACATAAACACGTGTTCCTGCACCTGCTGCATTTTATCTTGCAGCAAAGCCCATGAGGATCCCACCAGAGAAAGAGGCTGAAGCGATGGGGATGAGGGGCCTCCCTGCAGAACATTACAGGCCTGGGATTGACAATAATAAAAGTATTGAGCTGCTGTTTCACAGCGAGCCAACATATGGGGACAGCCTGTCTTGGGCCTGCCTGGTGCCAGCAGCACGCAACCACTGTTGCCCCGTCCCACATAGCTGGAGGGACCAAAAGGCCACATTCATCACCAGAATGGGGTCACCAGCCTGCCCATCACAGCATCACCAACCCACCCATCACGGCATCACCAAGCCACCCATCACAGCATCACCAACCCACCTATCATGGCATCACCAACCCACCCATCACAGAATCACCAACCCATCCATCACGGAATCACCAACCCACCCATCACAGCATCACCAAGCCACCCATCACGGCATCACCAAGCCACCCATCAGAGCATCACCAACCCACCCATCACAGCATCACCAACCCACCCATCATGGCATCACCAACCCACCCATCACAGCATCACCAACCCACCCATCACAGCATCACCAAGCCACCCATCACGGCATCACCAACCCACCCATGACAGCGTCACCAAACTGCCCATCACAGCATCACCAACCCACCCATTATGGCATCACCAACTCACCCATCACAGCATCATCAACCCACCCATCACGGCATCACCAACCCACCCATCACAGGATCACCAACCCGCCCATCACAGCATCACCAACCCACCCATTATGGCATCACCAACTCACCCATCACAGCATCATCAACCCACCTATCATGGCGTCACCAACCCACCCATCACAGCATCACCAAACTGCCCATCACAGCATCACCAAACTGCCCATCACAGCATCACCAACCCTCCCATCACAGCATCACCAACCCACCCATCACAGCATCACCAAACTGCCCATTACAGCATTTAGGAACCCAAACTACACTGGTCCAGCTGCCCAACCCCCCCCCCCCCCGAGGATGCTTCCCTTTTCTTCAGACACAGAAATGTCCAAACCACAAAGGAATCAAAGTGATGCCAACTTGTTGTCATCATCCCCCCATTGCTTTGGTTGGATGTATAAAGCAAAACAAGTCAACTCAAGGCAGCACACAGATGCTGAGAACAGCTGCAGAGACACCTTCCTGCAGCTTGTCCAGTGTCAGAGCCAGAGGAGTAATTTTGTTCAGGTTTTTTACCAGTGATGGTCATTTTCCACGAGGATCAGCATGTCTCCATGGCCTTGGTACAACAGCCGGGCCCCCTCTGCTGGCCACCAACCCCTGTGGTGCCACCAGCCCTGGACCCCCCAGCTTAGCCCCAAAAAGCCCTCTGGGTCCCATTTTCAAAGCCAAGCTACTTTATAAGAACCCAGCTGAGCCCTGTAGCCAAATAGGTGACTGACTACAGAACACAAAGCACAAAAGGGGTCAGTTTTGTTTTTGTTTTTCTAGGGAAAGAGTTTATTTTGTTTGTGTGTTTTACAAACACTGATTTAGGGCTTTGCTGTAGTTGAAATAATTTAAGCCTTATTTAACTTAAGTGGACCTTAGTCATCTGGTCCCAAACTGCTTTTAACACGTTACAGGTCAATTTTATCAAGGCAGGTCCCCTAACAACAGCCCTCAGCCCCTCAAACCCCAACAAACCTCCACATTGACTCGCTTCAAGGAAAAATACTGGGTCTTCTTTAAAACAAGGCCAGCCCTGAGCACACAGTTTGCTCCTGCCACTGCTATGGGTTTGCAGGGCACCAAGTTCCCCTCTTCCCAAAGAGGTACCAAGGGAGGGACCACTGGCATGATGCTGCAGACAGCATCACCATCAACAGCTCTTTGGTTGGCTTGCTTTAAATCCAGTAATAGAAAAGAACTCTTAAGCTTAGCAGGGTTTCTGGAGGAGGAAAGCCCCCCAGCCCAGGTGTTTAGGATACCCACCAGCTTCCAGCTGCCCATGCATGCTCCCTGCTTCCCCCTGCCCATGGGTAAAGCTTGCAGGATCTCCCTATCTCCCAGTCCCCTCAAGGGGAGAAATTTCCTTCACCAGGGCCTGCTTTTTTAGTGCATGGAAGCAAATTGAAGCTTAGCTCTTAGTTTTCATCCTGTTGTAGCTCTGCAGCAGAAGCCAGTGAGGACCACAAGCTCTCAGGATGTTTCTGGACCAAGCTCTTTAACTGCAGACCAGAAAGGCAATTCAGCCTTCTTCAAGAGAAAGAGGAAAAGAAACATGGGTAAAGATTCCTTTGATTTGCTCAGAAACAGCCAAAAGGCTTCACAACAGCTCAGCAGCACACCCTCACCTTAGCACAGCACTTGGCTCCCCAGTAGTGGTAGCCAGAAGCAGTCACCGATGCCATGTTTCTTACCCAGGGGAAATCACTTCTCCTTCCAATTACTTTGACATTCGTTCCTAATGACTGTAATGAGTATTTCAGCAGCACATGGGAAAACCTTCCCCCTCCTCTCTTCTCCCCATCTCTCAAACACAACAACCATCAAACCCAGTGACCCGGAACAGAACTGGGACTTTCCTGGCCACAAAGGAGCCTCTTCAATCCCAATTGCTTTCTGCAGAGCAAAGGAAAAGCCTCTTGACCGCTTAAGCACACCAGTAGCACCCTGGCTGCACTGACCAGAGCAAGATGCAGCAGCAGAGCCCTGTGAGGCTGACAACAGACTTGGCTGGGTCTGTGCATCAGAAGGAAGAAAACTGATTTGACCACTGCTGTTGGAAGAGCTGAAAACAAGCATGGTTTGCGTCTCAGCTGATGGGTTTGGATACAGGCACACAGGACACCCATAGGAGCCTTTCACTAGAAAATGAAAGCAGCACATTGAAGAGCATCAATACTGAACTGTTTCCAAGGTTATTATGGCAAAAAATGTCCATTTTTTTGTCTTGTGTGTACAAACTAACGCTGTGTGTTCTGGTAGGATCCATACCCAGAGTGGCAGGAAAAACTGAGACTGCCCATTTGCCTATTATGCTTTTACATGTAGCATTTATGATTTGTTTCTTCCTTTAAAACCAGAACTGAACTATGGCGCTCGCAAGGCTCTGTAACAGGCCTGTGCACTCTCCCCCATCAAAGCACTGCACATCTTTCACCCATCTTTCGCTGTGTCAGTGGAAAGAAAGGGCTTGAAGTGCCTCAGCCTGAAGCCATTCATGCCCTTGGGTATGACCGCACAGCACTTAACACAGCATTTCTGTAGATGAGATTCCTTTACAAACTAATCTAAGCTGTTTATTGTTTCCAAGGAGCATGCACTTCCACAGCAGAACAGGAAGTTTTGACAGTTTAAGAAGTTCATTAAACTCTGGGAGGAAATTTAAACAATCAGTGACAGCTTTCCTGCAGCAAGGCAGCGCCGGAGCAAGGCTGAGGCTGCAGCTTTTAATTATCACACTTGCATGAAGCCCCAGTGATTTTGTTACTGCTTCTAAATTGTCTTGGCCCAACACTCAGGGCTCACGAGCTATTTGCTCTTTGATTCTTATAGCCAAATGTTGCTTTGGTCCAAACCTCAAACTCCTTTATCTGTAAACAGGCCAAAGGAAGGCAATGGAAGATGTTAACAGTCCCAAGCTAAAGAGAGTGCTTCAGCTTGAAAAGAAACACTTCTTAATGCATTTTGCTTAATAGGGAGGATTATAGAAAACGGGAGAGGAGGAACTCAGTGCATTGATCCAGTGAGCAGGCAGCTCTTGGGCAGTCTGGTGCTGGCTGTGCTGGTGTGTTTTCACCTACCTGGGGGGCACATGCAGTCTGATGGAGCCTCTCTCGCCGTCCGCAGCTTTGCCAGTCCTTCACCCAGTTTCTGTTTGGAGAAGGAATGAAAAGAGCCATTTAGAGAATATATTATATCTAAATGTGGATTGTGCTTGCATGCCAACATCCAGCACGCTTCCTTCCACTGAGGGGTAATGGTTTCATCCTGTTACGTTCAGCCTCTGTGGATAATGCCCTATGCTATGGCAGTACACGAGAGACTAAATGTTTCTAAGCAAGTGATCAGTCTACAGCCCTTGCACGGGGCGGGCAGATACTGCACAGCCCAAAAGTCCCTTGAGCTGAGCACCATGGGCTGGATTCATCCTGACATACGTCCCATGTTCAGATGTCAGCATCGTCTCAGTGTGTTTGGTGGCAGGGTCAGGCAAAGGCCCCAGGGAAAGCCTCACTGCAACCAACAGTGAAGCTGGTTCCAGGCAGCCAGGAGTTTACGTACCAGGGTGATATTTGCACAGCAGACGTGGCCGGATTCAGCTGATTTTATACTCAAAATTCAAGCCTTGTGCAGTGTAACAGGTTTCTTTAGGGGAGGGATGAGGAGGTGAAGGCCAGTGCCAGTGACTCTGGGGTGCTCTCACACCCCCAGGTCAACCCAAAGCCCAGTGTTTCCATCGCCAGGGTGAAGAACCCATCAGTGAGACAACCAGAAAACATTAAATTCACACACCTAAAGCACCATCTATGTGGCATGCTGCAGACAGATGTGAGCGCTCTGCCTGCTCTCTAAGCCAACCAAAATGTTCATGCCTGCATTTAGGACACTGCCAAGCCCGAGGTAATGAGCCCTGATGACAGGTAGGTTGTATTAGCTCAGGCTTGGTGCTTCGTGGCTGGGGTGGGCCAGCAAGGGTGGGAACATCTCATCTTCACCCGCAATCTCTCTCTATCCTCCAGGAATCCCCTGTCTCATCAATTTACTAAGAGAGAAACCAATAACCGATAACTGGAGTCCCTGAGTGTCCAAGAGAGAAAGCTCCAAGTACTTACTGAATTCAGGGTATTCAGACTTGACTTTTATACAGTTGACAACCCACTCTATGTTTGAACACTGTGGACTGTTCTGGAATTAGACTATGTGTGAGTTAGGTTCTTTTCCTTTTATTCTGGGGATTTAGAGGTTTTATCTGTTGTTGAAATCCTAGGCATTCCTCTCTAGCTGCTCAGATGCGATGCTAAGAGGTCCTGAAAGTATCGACACCGTTTCATAGCACCTGATGAAGGTGTTGCCCTATGATAATACCAAAATGATCTGGCTGCCTCCTGTGAAACATAGGCTTTCCTTGAGGAAAAGTGTCAAGGAAGCATCTGCAGAGACTTTTCTGACAGCCACCTGCAGTCTGAATGTTAGAAAGATGCTCAGTTTTGATCTGTTTAAAGTAATTTGGATGATGAGGGTGCTCGAGGAAATTAAAACGAGCTCTTCCATCCTTTGGGTTCAGCAGGCATCCCTGGGAATAGGAGATCTGAATCTGGGGGTGAGTCCTCTGTTCTCCCAGTGAATTGTTCTTGTCATGAAATTGATTAATCTGGACACTGTCCGCCTATTGCGGACAATAAATCCCTTGGGAACGGAACTGTCCAGCTTTGTTTACAACAACTGGATGCTTCTATAATCCTCCCATTAACATCCTCCCTCCAGTATGAAAACGACACACTGCAAACTGGGGCTTGGATGTAGAGCAAGTGGCGATGCTACCACGTTCAGACCACGCTGTTGGAAACGTTTCAGAGGGCATCAGAGCAGGACCCTGCAGCATGTCCCAGCCAAGGGAAGGGCAAAGCCCCACCACATTATAATCAGCAATTTCTCAGGTGCCTTTCACAGGGCCAGAAATGAAATCCTAGCTGTCCAAATTGCCTTTCATTGCCTTAACTACACACTCACGCTTTATTATTTCCTATCCTCCTTTACTTGCCACACATTTAAACAACACTAAAAGAAACAGAGCCAGCATGTTGGTGTTGTATTTGCTGCTCTTCATACACAGCTCTGCCATAAATTACTCCAGCAAACCCTTAGACTGGTAGATGGGGTAATGCTTTTGGTGCAGTGACAGAGAACAAAGTACGCTGGGTCATGCACAGAGAGCGTATGGGGCTTTGGTTTCACTTCTGAAATGTTGTGGCAAACTTCAAAGGAGGCCCAACACAGAACTGAACAGAAAAGCTGACCCCAGGCACCAGTTGATGTTCATGATGATGGAAGTACTCCCTCGCTCCCCAGAAACTCTCCAGCACAGAAAGAAGTCGCCTGATGAGCGAGGAGTCTTATGAAACAGAGACGGGTTTGGTCAAGAGACAGGAGCTTTCTGAAACATTACCATACATGAAGAGGTTCATTTAAAAGAACTATTAATAGACAGCCCAATCGCTACCACTCATTCCTTGAATCTGTTACTCGTTTCAAGGTTTGCTTTCAGTATTGACAAAACATTGGTCATACAAAGCGTTTCAACAAGCTCCCTCTTGCATTAGAAGCCCAATTATGCGGTTTTGCTCTGTTTTCCCCTGTATAATCTCCATCTGAGCGTTCCCAGTACAAAACAAGCTTTCTACACTTAACTAAATCTCAGCAAGAGGTTGCACATGATCTGAGGCAGTGCCACAGAAACCATTCCCATTGCTGAGCACATTTATTGGAGTAATTGGAACAGAACAACTGCCACGACTGGCAGGCTAATTCCTGCCCGGAGAGAAGACGTTAACTGGGCTCTGTGATCACACCCGGCGGTCTCCCCCCTAGTCTGGTATTCAGGGGGGGTCACAAAAACACTTCTTAACATTCCCCTTTTACCCAGGCACAGCAATGGAACCGGGCTTCCAGGTGAGTGAATGCTCCCACCGTCACTCCGACAGCAACAGGCAGGATGAGGGCTTGTCCCACCCGCGCTGCCTCCATCCATCCCCCGCGCAGCCCCAGAGGTGCTCACAGCTGGAAGGCGCTGCTGACAAACACATTTCTGCTCGGTGGGGGCTCCCTGGCTGTAATGCAGCTCCGTGCTCTGCACCCCAGCCAGGCCGTTAACTAATCCCGGTGTAAAACCTTCGCCAGATGTCAGGAGCGATCGCAGCGGAGCGTCCCGCGGCAGCCCCGTAGCGGTGCTGTGCTTTATGAACTACGGTTTACCCAAGTCCACCAAAACAACTGTGGGATCTTCCAGCATTTCCTATGGGAGCCCTCCCCACACTCATTGTCTGTGGAAAGCCCCAAACCTAAACACCAGAGTCTGGGGAAAAATACAAGCCTGGGATCAAGTGTAACTCCTCCCAAAGATACGGTTTAGTTATGGAGAAGGGCACCAGTGTGGATAATCGTTCTCCAGATGGGAGAAATCTTCCAGCACAGAAATCTTTATTGGATAATCTCTGAAAACCCTGGGGCTGAAAGTGAATTAACTAGTTGCTCATCTTCTCTACCTGCCAAAACGCAGTTCAGCACTGCTGGACCACACGATACTCTGCGAGAGGCTGTCCCGATAACAGGGATCGTGTTTGCAAAATTTCTATCTAGGAAATCATAGTCCATCGCATTAGAAGGTAAATAGCATTTAGGTACTCGCGTTATCTTTGCCAGTGAATAGAACGAGGGACAAAGTCGCGTGTCCTCGAACATAAATAGCAGCCTTTCCATCTGGGCCATTTTCGCTCTTAAATCCTAAGGGCTCTGCAACGCCTCGTCCGTAACGGGCGAAGTTTGGCTGAAAGGAGCAAGTTTTCCCCAGGGGAAACAGCCGCCGGGACCCACAGGGCGCGCGGGGGGTTCCCCGCAGCTCCCTGCCCAAGCGCCCGTCCCCGGTCCTGTGCGGCGGGACTCACCTCTCGGAAGAGCTGCTCCACGCGGGGCTGCAGCGCGTCCAGCAGCGGCCCGGGTCCGCGCTCCTCCAGGGCTGCCAGCCGGCCCTGCAGCTCCGCCGTCTTGGCGCCCAGCAGCAGGCACACGGCCACGGCGGTGAGCGAGAGGAGCAGGCAGAGGGCGGAGGTGGCGGTGCCCGCCGCGGCTCCGCTGCCCGCGCTCATCGCGCCGCTGCGCGGGGTCCCGCTCGGCTGCCGCCCGCCTGCCCCCGCCGGCGCATCCAGCGCCCGCCCTGCGCGCTGCGCGCCGCGGAAGTGGGGCCGGCAGCTGCGGAGACACCGCTCTCCTCCGCCAGCCCCGCCAGCCCCGGGTCTTAAACGGAGGAAGCGGGGGGTGGCGGCTCCCCCGCCGCCTCCCCCCCGCGCTGGGGAAGGGGGGATGCTCCGAGCGCTGCCCGCCGCCCTCCATCGGGGATTGCGCGGAGCAGATCCCACCCCTCTGCCCGCCCCCCCCGGCGGGGACCGCTCCTTCCCCCTTGCTCCCCGCCCTCCCTTCCCCGGGGGTCCCGGCCGTGCCCTGCGGGCGGCCCCGGGACCGAGGGGCTCGGCTCCAGCCGCAGAGCCACAGGAGGCAGCCGCGCAAGCGGCCGCGGAGCGGGCGCCCTCCAGCGGGGCCGCAGCGGATACCCCCGGGCAGAGCCGCTCACCGGACGGGACCCTCGCTCCCCACGAGCGCGACCCGCAAGAGGCGTCAAGCGAAGGGGAGCTTTGTGCTGCCTGAGCCCAGCCCTGACCCGGCCCGGGGAAGGGACTTCATGGCCAATCCCAGCAGGTCTTCACCGGGGTTAGCAGATCCAAGAGCCACATCTGCCTTAGGGAGCCTCTGAACAAGAGAAACGATGCTCACATACGAGCATGAAGCACCCCAGACTTAGCCAACCACCACAGCCTTTTTCTCACTGTTACAGATCTCATCACGTCAGCTCTGAACTTGCCTATAAAACATCCCCGGATAACTTACTGCCTGTCTAGACTCTAAGCACATGGTATACAAACCCAGTCTTTGCCTCCTAGCCCAACACCCTGCTCTTCTTCTAGGAGTAATTCTTTGAGAACAGATGAGCGAAGCCTAGGCCAGCTAGAAAATGGTACTAGCGCATGGTCTAGTAAGTGCATTAACAACACGTACCCTTGTACCTGGACTGCCAGGGTGTGCACTGCAAGCTGCTTTTTGACAGCCACTATTACCAAAGCAGTGAGCCAGGCATATCTGTATCCTTCAGTAACAACCATTTCCTGCTCTCCATGGGCCCAAGGATCAAAGAAAACCCCAGGTTTTCAAAAGCAGCCTCTTCCTTACCTCTCCCCCACCCCCTGCCATGAGCCTGCTGAGACTTCACTTACAAGCCCTGTGAGTTTGATTGCACGCACACAGTAGCAGCGGTTCGGGAGGTTCTGTGGAGTAAAGCCTGGTCTGCTCACTCACAACAGCTTTATTTTGTCCTGTCGCCTGTGTTTAGTGAAATGCGTACCTGATATGTGAGGGAGGTGGGTGGTGGTGGTGTGGCTGAACTGTTCATGGATTTACAGACCATGTTTGCAATGTACAACAGCTAAAAATCTGAAGTGTAGAGAAAGACGCAAAAGGATCCTGTAATTATTTACCAGCAGCTATAAGGAGTTAGAACTAGCTTCATGCAAACACGAAAGATTACAAACTACCCCCATTATACTTACATGTTAAGACAATGGGAGGCGCAGGGGTTAAGATTCCTTCTAAGAGAAGGAAAGAATTTAAACAGGTTTCTATAATGTGTGATTGTAGTAGCACGTATCTCCTTTAGCAAGTGCAATGCATTTTAATACCTACACTACCCAAGGCTACAAGTACTCTTGAAGCACGAGTATGCAGTCCTACCCTTACTAATTTTGACAAACTCTTTTATAGTTACAGTTTAATAGTTATAGCAGCTTATAAACTTCCCCCCCCCATCTGCCTTTGATTTGCGTTGCTTAACTGATAGGCTCAGCCAAGCCTTTGCTTTACCTCTGAAGGTGTGGGATGGGAAATAATGAGGGCAGAAGCAAGGGAAAGAATTCACTTCTGCCCTCACTCTCCTCACTGAGCTGGATAGTACCAACCGTTACGTTTTCTGTCATGCAGAGTAGAAACAATGATGTGAACATCATCTATTATGAGATAATCAAGCACAGGAGGGGGCAGCGCCTACAGAAGATAAGCTTTCAAAGCTTGCCCCAGCTCTACACAACCCCCAATATGTATGTCTGGAGCCTCTTGCAAATTAAGCCGCCTCCACATCAGTGAAACAAGGACATCGGCTTAAAATCTTACCCCACATCAAGACTTAGCAAGCACAAAACCTGAAGCCAAGACTCCTGCGGAGCTGAAACAATTTAGTGTTTCCTCCCTTAAGAAAGACTTACACGGTGAAGTCAGGACTGAAAATAAATTGCCAAAACTTACTGCACCTACAGCCAGCCTAAACGAACCCTAGAAGCTTCCCTCCTGCCCAGCAAGCCAACCCTACATGTCAAATGGATTACAAGTGCTGAACAAGACTAGGAAAGCATCAATTTGAACACTGAAAAGCAAAAACTACCAAAGTGCGTCAACTGGGCTTAGAAAGCAGTACCCTTCTCCTCTCGACACCTGAGTTCAGGAGTCACAGCTGAACCTGTCCCCCTCCTTCCCATTTCCAGTCCAATGACAGTGTCTCTCCGTTGCCAAGATTACTCAATTTATCGGTAATAAGAAATCAAGCGTCACAGAGATAGGTATTTGAAGACTTTGGAATGATCTTGTTACTACTGCAGGAGGAAAGCCTAGATATGTGACAATCTGTAGCACACAGTTATTTCTCTGCATTTTTCTCCAGGGGCAGTACAACTCCTCTAAAACTCTTCATTAAATTGCTCACCTTTAATGAATTAAAACAATACTGAAAATACGAAATGTTAATTTTCAGGCCTTGACAAAAAAACCTGCCTATAAATACTTAATACTGAAAGCATCAACAAGCTTCCAGAGACAAATTAGCCAGAGCAACACACGCTCTTTGACAGGTGACCCACAGAAGAGATCTCTACTGAGAATACACACAACCGGTATTTCAGAATGCTATCACAACATACTATACAGCATGATTAGATAGCCTCAGCCCTTCAAATCTTTTCTCTGTGATTACATGGAAGACTGTTTAAATTACTGAATGTTTCAGAACTAGCACAGACTCCTCACCTGAAGTCAGATGTTTAACAAACCCCATCCACAGAGGGAGAGGGGTTACAGCTTCAGAGAGAAAATTAAAAAGGAAAATTACTTTTATTTTTCACTTACCCATAAGACTACAACTGCTCAACAAGGTAAACATAACAGTCATACAAAACATATGGCATTATTTACAGACTTAACTGTACAAAATAATTTAACGCTTACAAAAGTTTCATGCAACCTCTGTTGACTGACACAGTCTAGGAAATCTCCTTGAAGAAGCATAAAAGATCTTTGAATTTACTTATTTAATGGTTCAAAAAAAGGATGCTGCAAAGCTTCATCAAGAGTAATTCGTTTGGCTGGATCGTATTCCAGCATCCTGCGAACAAGGTCGAAGAGTCTTTGATGATCTGTGTCTTGGCAATGCATGAATTCCTGAAAGAAAATAAAAGGAAGTATTTTAAAGAGATCTTTCACAACCATGAATCTAACAAAGTAACAAAAGTGTTGTCTCCTACCTTTAAAGGCTTACAGCGTCTCCTAACGTAGCGTCCTGCAGAGCTGTGTTCATCCCAGTCCAACTGGTCATGGTGGAAATAATGCTTCCTGCAGAACAAGGGAAGTAATGTTAAGATAACGTGAGTGCACCAAGTGAAGGCAGATGCTTTTCTCAGAAGTTCTGAAACACCACGGAAGTTTTCCTGCACACCCCTTCGCATTTGGTACCTAACATTTCTTTATTTATTCGGAGCTGTTGTTTTTGTTACCATTGTCAGATTATTTAGAAAACAAGAGATGGATGCTTTCAGGTGTTCTACTGAACATTCCCAAATGTCTTTAAAGAGCAGCACTTAAGACTAAAACCAGGACTACTGTCAACTATTTAATTCACCTAAATCTGACCAATTTCTTGCAATAGACTAAGAGGTAAAAAGAAGCCTGGAAGTCTCTTTGTTGATCTTTAGAATCACATAGCTAACAATGAGAACTTTTAAGATTTCTCTTTGAATAATAAAGTATTAGGAAACCTACTTCTTCTGTAATAACTTACCTGGATTTCTTGATCATGTGAGCTGGCAGAGGCCCTAGTATTCTTTCCATCATAGCCAAGTGTTCTTTACTATCATGTGTCTGTGTGGAAAAAGCAATAAATGCACTTAACACGTTTCTACTCTCAGGTAACACGTCATCTAAAAGCAAGTCGTTTGCCAGAATACTGTTACGGTATCTTTACACATTAACGCCTTAAATTATTACAAATAGATTATGCAATGCAGCTTGTTATACAGCACGTTCTACAGCTAAGATGTCCCCTGAACAACAGAGTTCATAAACCAAGTTTTGTAGGAGTAGGTTTTCTTTACTCTTAATTCCAGCATTATCTTCAGACTCTATACAGACTTTGTCATCCAGAAAGCCAGAACAAAGCACCTTAAATAGTCTGAAGGATATATTCCAGACATCACATCTTCATATATGCCTGCCGTCTTTACAAACTTATCTATATAATCCTTAAAAAGCCTGTAAGGTTATGCCTTTTACAGTAACAGTTAAGTACATGTCATTAAACAATCAAAAATCAGCAGTCGAACAAAAACATTCAGTTTAACTCTATTCACATACCTGGAACACTGTAAATCCCAGGTAATACTCAATTAGAATGCAACCAATACTCCAAACATCACAAGGCTGTGACCATCCCAGTGCTGCAAAAGAGGTAAAGTGTATGTTTTACTGTTTAAAATATTCTCAAAACCTGTAATCCACAAAGCATATGCCCTGATTCCATGCATTTACTGATGCCTATTTCCCCCCTCCATACCTCTCCCCAAACCTTGGTGGGAGAAAGTGGGTAAAGGAACATGTCTGGACTTCTGTTTTGAGTTTTTACTGTCTACTCTCAAGAATTCCAACACCACCATCCATGAGAGATGACTGAATTACCAGAACCATGAGCAACTACTCCAGTTTACAGAGTAAACACAG